GATTGTTTGTTGTGTTTATTTTTGTGTTGTGAAGTTTGTTTTTTAATTGTTTTTTTTTACAGGTTATAATTGTTGTTATAAATGGTATTTTGTTCAACATAATTAAAAATCATACAATATTTGTAATTTAAGTTGAATTTGCGTCTGACTCCCGATTTAGATAAAAACACGCGTTTTACAAAACTTTGACCCATTAAAATAAATTAGCACACGTTTTACAAAAGTGACCCATTAAATGTTTTGAGCACAAATAGTAAAAAATTTGTTACATTTACATTAACAAAATAAAAATTTGAACGTAATTCAAATTATAAAACCGTACCCATTAAATAATGTGAACCCGGAAAAGATGATTAAAAGTATCAATATGTTAATATCTTTACAAGAACAAAGTACATTGATTAAAAGTATCAATATATTAAATCAATGTGACGATAATTAAAAATAGTTGACCCATTCAGTGTTATGAACTCCAAAGTAAATACAAATACAGTTTACAATATAACACGTTTAATTTATAAGTGACCCATTAAGTCATACGAATTCAAAATTAAACAAAGTTCATTACACAATCAGTCATATTAAAGGTACTTATAAAACATATGGCTAATAAATGTTTTACAACATTAAACAAAGTACAAAAGGGGAAATACATTATAAGAGTACAAATACAAATCAATCATGTTGTCCTCTCCGTCTTGGATGCATATCCATCTCATTTGGAAATCTTGTTTCTTGATGACGCCCAGCTCGAGAAGTTCTGGAAGAGTACTTAGGCGGTAGAAGAATGAACTCATTTTGTGGCCACTCATTCATATTCAGAAATGACATGATATCATTGGACTGTGCATTTATGTAAGAACTCAGTTTGTATACCTCAGGAATAAGATAAACAACAGGGCAGTTAAGAAAATGGCACACAGAATGTGCATGGACGCATGGCATTCCGTTCATCCTCCAACAACCGCAGTCACAAACATGTCTCAATAGATTCACCGTAACAGGTGCTGCATTTTCTACGGAGACCGAGTAAATACCTGTGTAATGGTTGTGTGGAAGAACCATAGTGTGAGGTCTTTGTTGCCAACGCTCCATAAGCTCCTTCCGAATGTTGTCCGGAAAATGATATCCAGCTTGTTGCCACATCATACCAGCAGTACGACGTTGGGCGAAGAGTTGGACTAGCTTGTCAAAAGTCGCTCGTACAAGGGCAGTGATTGGCAATGCCCTACATCCTTTGAGAGCATTGTTGAATCTTTATGAAAGATTTGTCGTTAAAATACCATAACGACAACCACCATCAAAACAAAGTGCCCACTTTTCTTGGGGAATGTCATTTAAATACTTGAATGCTCTCTCGTTAGTACCCCGAATTTGTTGCATGTAATGATGAAATTCACTTACAATCGGGGTACTTCCTGCTCGCCAACACAACTTCTTTAGTTGTTTACTTCTAAATTGGGTCATGAAATTGCTTCTAATGTGGCGAAGACAATAACGTCTCTAAATTTGAGGTGTTCCCAATTGTTCCACATTTCGAAATGCATAATCTACATCCGCATGCCTATCGGAGATGATGCAAACATTTCGATCAGGGGGTATGATATGTGTCACAAGCAATTGTAAGAACCACTTCCAACTAGCACCATTCTCACTATCTACCACTCCAAATGCTAGAGGGTAGATTTCACGGTTGGCATTCATTGCCACCGCGACTAGGAGATGACCCTTGTACTTGCCATACAAGTGAGTTCCATCAATTGACACCACCAGAAGACAGTGATTGAAGCCGTCAATCGCTGCTTTTATTGACCAAAATGCAAATTTAAACTCATATGTTCCTTGGGTGTTGGTGTTATCACTTTGAATATCAATTATGCTGCCTGGGTTAGTATACGCCATTGCTTGTAAGACATTTGGGAGATCGTTGTACGATGCTCCCAATTGCCGAACCGTTTCTCCAATGTTAATATACGTGCATACCATGCTTTCTTATATCCAACATGAATGTTATACTTTTGGTGTATGTCATTCATTATCAGCTTAATACTATAGTCTGGTTTTATGCGAATCGTAGAACTTATTTCAGAAGCGATGAACTTACTTGTAAGGAGTTTGTCGATTTTGGCTCTTGTGTATCCTGGAATGCAGTTATGGCGGGTTTGATACTGCTTTACTTTCCAAGAGTCCGTGTCCTTCATTTGTGCTGCTTGAATGTGCCACGAACATTGCTCCGCATGGACGCATTTCGCCCTCCAGTACTGCTTAATTTGATGTCTGGTATTGGTGTTTGGAATACATTATATTAAGTTGAACAAGACCAGGTTTATTTTTGGCAGAATAGGTTTGGTATAAGACCTCAAAAACACCTCATGTATTGAGCAATATAGACCTGCATTTCTTTTGGCAGAACATGTCTTTTTTTTCACCTGAACAACAACTCAACAAAACCTCAACTGAAATTGTAAGTGTCATACACTTTTACAGGGGATTCTTTGGCACTCAACACTTGTATAATTAAAGTATAAGATAGAAAACACACACAACAATTACCACAAATGAATTCCAAATAGAAAGTCATTTCGTACTAATGTTAAACCAAGTGCATACATACTAAAGAAGCTACTCCATTTCCCACCAATGGGGTTTAAGATTACAACAGAATACTTTTTTACATGATTAACCTAAAATCATACATATGAGTACAACAAGGGCACACAACATCAGTACAATCACATAATTCCTCTTCAAATTTGCTCCTCTATGTAACTCCAAATGTTCTGCAATCTCTGTACGGTTAAGCTCTTGAACCTCAAATTCCATATTTTGTTTAAAGGTATGCTCAAATTCTGGGATTGGTGTTTCATCAAACTCCCCACCTGCAGTTATGGCCTCCCCTGCACGTATGGCATCCTCTAGTCCCATTATTGTACTATGAAGCCGTATATTATCCATTTTAAGATCATTGATAACATGCTTGGCCCTATCTGTTAGAGGTTCATCATGCCATTCAAAGAACCCACAACCATCCTTCTACAGACATTAAAATGGAAAACATCAAAATGGGATAAATGACAATTTTAAAAAAAAAAAATATAATAAAATACCTCATAAATGGGCAACCATAAAACCGTCGCCCAGGATTCTTATCAGCCCATGAAGTCCAAAGTCGAGCTTTCACAGGGATTCCAGTTCGGCTCCTACATTTACAAAACCTTGCCCCCCACCATATTGCATCTCAAAATTCGCTCCACACTAGACTGAATCAATGGAGGATGATTTTTGTATCCCTGCAGACCTTGATGGTGAAGACCTATCTCTCATTGCTTTTGTTTCCTCTACACATATGTCTGCATAATAGGTTGGGGATAATGAAGTAGGGTTCTTGGATTAATTTTGGGGGTCTTTTTATGCGCAGGGGGAAAGGGGGGAAACGGTCGTTTAACGGGCCTGTTAGAGGGTGGTTAATAGTTAAGGAAAAGGTTTTCTTTTGTGTTTTTTGGTCCCCAATAAACTTTAGTGTCATATACGAGATTCATTAAAAACCTTGGTGTCAATTTTGGCCCTTTTCCCTTAATTTGTTACCCGTGCGTTGCACGGGTTGATCGTTCTTATTAATTTATTTAGAGAAAAGAGGCAAATAAGCCTTCAAACTATTTGAGCATTTGCAATCAGGCCCCTGAACCGGAAGAATTTCAAATACACCCATCAACTCATTGAAAATCAAGCAATCAGGTCTTTTTTTACCCTCTAGTGTCGGTAGTTTCTCATCTCCTTACCTGCACCAACGGGTAAAAAGGGACCTGATTGTTTGATTTTCAATGAGTTGAGGGGTGTATTTGCAATTCTTCCGATTCAGGGGCCTGATTGCAAAATCGCAAATAGTTCGAGGGCTTATTTGCCTGTTTTCTCATTTATTTATATAATTTATAGAGTTTTTGTCACTTTAAGTTCTCTGACTATTATTTCATTAACATTTTTGGTAGTTGAGTTTGATTTTTTCCACTTTTAGTGTTCGACTATTGTGCTAGAGACACTTCTAGTACCCGCATTTTAAAACTTCCATGTTCAACTTTCATAAAAGTGACATTTTTTATCCTTCAACTATTATAATAATGACATTTTAGTCCTCCACTTATTGTGTCAAACTCATAGTGTGAGGATTAAATATGCCATGGGATCAAGTGGAAGTAGGGATGGACCGGGCCCAGGTTGGGCGGGCTCCGGGCTGGTCTTGGGTGGTACTGGATTTTTGGGCTTAAGGCCCGCTACCGGCCCGGGATTCTACTGGGACCGGGCCGGGCCACGGTCGGGTCAATTATTATTTTTTAAATTAGGCTTTTCTAATTAATTCAATTCCTATCCCCAAACCCACCTATCAGCAGCCTAATGTAAAAAAAACAATGGCCCAAACCGCTCACCAATTTCCCTATTCCGCAACCCGTCCCCTATCCCCGGTTCAGGCCTTCAGTACCGGTCCTAGAACCGCCCGACGGGCTGGGTTAGGCCCGCACCGTGGCGGGCCAGCCTGACCCATCCCAGTCCATCCCTAAGTGGAAGTATATGACTTTTAAAACCTAACAACATGTTTAAGGAATAACCCAATTTCCTAGGAGATTCTACCCTCATTTTTTAATTAGATTTTGATAGAGTATATGGGCTCATACCCCATGGCCCACATACTCAGAAGGTCAAAATACCAAACAGGACATCCACGTGGTACCCTTCGACCTAGTGGGGTCCGCAACGGCTAGATCAAAAGACATTCAGGACACCATTTGGAGGCTTATTGGTACCCGCATCGTCCGTGGACCGAGTTGGCCAGAGGACTGCATCGGCCAGGACTTTACCTGGCAGAATGTATTTTCCTATCTTTTTTACTAAGTATTGTACCCAGCCCATTAGAGGCCTTATTTCGCCCAAAGAAGGCATGATTATTGTAATGGGCCTCCTAAGCCCAACGCTAGGGGCCCAAATCCACATTTACTCCTATAAATAGCCCTCTAGGGGGTAGTTATAGGGGGTTGAGAAATATTAATTGCTCACTTTCTCTCTCTAGCTCTCACTTCTCTGTAGAATTAAACACTCTATCATTTGGTGCTTTCATTGAGAGCTTGAACAGATTAAGTGAGTACCCTTCGTCGCTACTAGACGCTACTAACAAAAATGGAAGGAGCTAAGTCAAAAAGCATTGTCAACAAGACCATCCCCGAGACTCATGAGAACCTAGAAAGGTTGGGGGATGTCGCTGACGACAACTACGTGATTGGGGAGGAGGTCGCCCAGGAATTCTAGAACCCTGCTGACGACCTTCATAACCATCTCAACAAGGCTGCCCCAGACGCCCGCATCGGGCTAGAGGACAGGCGCGCTGCCGACCGCGCATCGGGCCAACAGCTTTCTCCCCCTGTTCCCCTAGATCAACTGGGCCGCTCTATCGGCCATTGTCGCCAACATTCTCTAGGACCCCAACGTCCTGAGCGGTCTCGTCGCTAAGACTAGCGAAAACAACACACCCAAGATGGGGGAGTTCGCGACGGTCCCACCACCTCCACCCGTCGTCACCTTCTTCGGCAATGACGAAAATGTCATCGTCGTGGACACCCATACTGCCTCTCCACCTCGGGGTGCACCGGCCGAAGCTCGCGGTAAGACCTCGGCCTTCAATAGGCTGGGTGACACGATCCGTCGAGCACCTACGGGGAGGATGGCGGATCAGTTGGGTGGCCGCGAGCCCGGCTCACTAAGGGAAAGCTTTGGGTGTCTGTTTCCCGGATAGCGGAACGGCCCCGAATGGACAAAGGAAATGGGAAGTTGCATGAGGATGACGCACATCACCAAATCAATCAGGCTCATGCAGCCCAGGTCCAACCCCGGCCTAGTGGCACTGCGGCCACCAGGGACCCCAGGGATGAGATCATCGCTCAGCTGGAGAGGCGTCTGGTCGACATGGAGGCCAGGGAAGCCGCGGGGAACGCTTCGACCCACACATCCCAAAACCTTGACCTCGGCGCGATCCTGAACAAGGTCAGCGCCCCGGAGAGGGAGTTGGCCAAAAGACGTGGCGAACTCATCATCCAGGTCAAGACGAGGACCCCTTTCTCTACCAGGATCCTCTCCGTCCCTATTCCCAATAAATACAAAGGGAACCCCATCAAGCCATACGATGGCTGAAGCAATCCTCAAGAGCACTTCACCCGTTATCAGAACAACATGCTGATGACCAACGCTTCGGATGAATACATGTGCTGCTGGTTCCTTTCCACCTTGGACGGACCAGCATACGATTGGTTCAACGCGCTCCCTGAGGGAAGCGTGGACTCATGGCAGGACCTCGCACAACGCTTCCTCGCCCACTTCAAGCCTTCCTGGAGCGCTGGACGAAGGAGGTAGAGGAATCCGAGGGAGCCAACGAGCGCACGCTCTTAGCCTTCCTCCGAGGTGCGCTACGGCCCAACCCTTACGTACGCAGCTTGTTAACGGAACCCCCACGGTCATATTTCGCAGCGATACAGCGCGGACACTTGCATGCGGACATCGGTGAACTGTTAAACAAAAAGAAGGACGGGGAGAGACCACAGAGGAAGGGGAATAACCCCTCGGCCAATCCCCCCAGCGCACCGGCCCCCAGAGATCAGAACAAGCGCAAAACCCCTGCCCGGAGTCCGGAGGGCAACGTAAGGATGACTGTCAGTGGCGCCCCAGGCTGGAAGTACAAAGGGTCCCCCTCACCCACCCGGTAAGCGTCATCCTTGACTGTGCCAAAGAGCAGGGCCTCATCTTGAAGGACCCCAGGTCGGAGAAAGAGATATTCGCGATCCACAAAGGAGGGACGTACTGCAAGTACCATCGCCAGACGTCTCACAAAACCGACGATTGCACCACCCTGAAGAGGCACATCGACAAACTTATCCAGCAGGGGGAACTCACCCAATTTGTCAAAGGTGGCCCAAGGCAAAACACCTAGGTTAACACCGACAAAAGGGGGGAGTGATCCTCTGCCAAGAAAAGGGAGATTGGCGCCCTCAGCGAGGACGAGGATGAAGATGAGGAACCCCGCCACAAGAAACATCACATTCACATCATCGTGGGTGGAAACAAGGGGGGGGGACTCGGGTACCCAACGGCGGAAGTGGGCTCAGTCCCTCTACGTTAGTGAGGTGTCCCATGTTCCCCCTCGGCCGAAGCGACAGCACATGGAGGCCATCACCTTCACCGATAGGGACCTCCCTATCGCCACCCCCTCCCGCATAGGGATGCCCTCGTCGTCAAATGTGAGATCGGCAACAACATCATCCACCGCAACTATATAGACGCGGGCAACTCTGTCAATGTCATGTACGTTGACACCTTCAAGCAACTAAAATTGAAGAAGGCCGAGCTCAGGCCGATACACACACAGTTGTCCGGCTTCCCCGGGGACTCAATCGATGCTGAAGGCACAATAGTGCTTCTCGTTATGGTCGGTGATGATGCCCACCAGGCGAAGATTGACATGGAGTTTGTGGTCGTGAACCTGGACAGCGCCCATAACATGATCTGGGGTCGACCCGCCCTGGAGGACTTAGAGGCCATCATCTCTATGAGACACTTATGCCTCAAGTTCCCTACCAAGGGCGGCATCGGCTACGCCAGAGGAAACCAGAAGATAGCCAGAGCTTGCTACCTAAAGCTCACCAAGAAGATCAATGAGGCCGAGGAACGCATTGACACCATTACTGTCGCCTCGGCTGAAGAAGACAAACCAAAGCCGAACCGGTCGGAGATGTGGAAGAGGTTCTGTTGGACGTCTCTCGGCCGGAGCGCATGCTAAAGATCGGGACGCAGCTCCCCCAACAGATCAGACAGGACATCCTCTCAGTCCTGAGGTCGTACGCCGTTGTCTTCGCATGGGGGCTAGAGGATATGTCGGGTATCGGCCCAAAAGTCATCACTCATCGACTCTCAGTCGACCCGGCCTCCCCCCCCCCCCCCCCCCCCCATAAAGCAAAAGAGGCGCTACCTCTCAGCTGAGAGAAGAGACTTTGTGAAGGCCGAGGTGGCCATGTTACTCTCCATCAAGCACATCAAAGAGGTGAAGTACCCCACGTGGTTGGCGAATGTCGTCCTCGCCCAAAAGCCGCCTACGTTTAGGATGTGCGTCGATTATACCGACCTGAACAAGGCGTGCCCAATGGACCCGTTCCCTCTCCCCCAACATAGATCAGTTGGTTGACGCGATGGCGGGGTGCGAGTTGATGTCATTCCTCGACGCGTTCAGGGGGTACCACCAAATATCCAAGTTGTAGTCACCGTCATCACCTTTATTAAAAACGAAATTTCACAAAATTATATGGAGTATATTTTAAACTTTTTCCTAAAGAAGAAGTTTGAAGGACTATTTTTCTCACCCATTATTCTTAAAAAATAAGATACAAAAATGCGTAATTATAACTTATAAGTTTTGAAAAATAGTGAGTTACAAATGAAATTTGATGGATAAAATAGGCATTGGGCAATTTTTTATAGATAAAGATGGTTGAAAAGACGAAGTTAATTTGGATGCAACTAAGAGTTATAAAAAAATTGACTCTTTTAATAGGAAAATGTAGATTGAAAACATGTTTAAATAATATGCTAAAAAAATAAGACATACTCAATAAATAACAATATGTATTATCAATCAATGTTATAATCGATTAATACATATGTTAGTGTGCGTGCTCACACATATATAGTTAAATTAAAATAAAATCCTCTTATCCCGCGAACGGCACATGTAAATATACTAGTAATTATAATTTATAAATCTAAAGTTAGTACTTAATAATTACAGAGTTACCTAATGACATACCTAGTCAATTTCTTAAATCTTAATTGGTAAACACACTTCTTATTAATTGATTCAAGTCAATTAGCAACGGCAATAAATAAACTGATTAACAAATAACAACAAGAGCACAAGGTAAGTTAGAAACAATCGAAATCAATTTCAGTAATTTGCAATTCAGAAAGAAAGAAAAAACCTACAGAAACGTCCATGTCCATATATGTGCTGAGCTGAGTTACTCAATTAGTTGTGTAGAGTATACCGGTTGTTGTGTGCCTGTGTGCGGCCTAGCGACTAGCCAACTAGCGGGGTAGGGTGGTGTGTGGAAGGTGTAGTCGTGGTTTAGTGTTGGAATAATCTTAAATTTAGTTATTAATTATTTGGTTCACTTAGTTATTAATTATTTATTTTTATCATTAAAAAATAGTTTGTTTCTATTGAGTGTGTGGGTTAGTTAAGAGCTTTGAATTAATCCTCCGTATTGTTAGGATAGTGGAGCAGTAACATGGGTTAGTGGTTATCTTGTTTTTAATTCCCTATAAATAGCACTATGGGGAAAGACTTCATTGGTATTCCTTCGTAATTTGCTTATTTCAGTTCAAGTAATAAAAAAGGGGAATTCTCCCAATTCGTGTGTTTTGCTTTGTTCTCCGTTCTGTGTTATATTTGACAGCAAAGCAGATCCTTGAAACCAACATTTGGTATCAGAGCCTAGATCTAAAGAGCTTGTGATATTCAATGGCATCAAACAATTTCTCCATCTCTATTCCATTGTTCAAAGGTGATAACTATCATTCATGGGCCATCAAAATGAAAGCATACATGAAAGCTCTTATTTTATGGGACGTCATTGAGAGTGACAGTGAGCCTACTCCTCTTCCAGAAAATCCAACAGCAGCCCAATTCAAGAAACATGAAGAAGAAATGGCACGAAAGCCAAAGGCACTTTCATGTATTCATGGAACGGTGTCCGAAGAGATTTTCACAACAATCATGGGTTGTGAGTGTCCTAAAGAAGCATGGGAGAAAATTAAAGAGGAGTTCGAAGGCAACCGACAAACCAAACTCATGCAAATTCTCAACCTCAAAAGGGAGTTTGAGATGGTGGGGATGAAAAGTAACGAAGGTGTCAAAGAATATGGGAGTAGGTTGATGTCCATTGTCAATCAAATCAAATTACTTGGTGGAGATTTTTCAAGTCAAAGAGTTGTGGACAAGCTTTTGGTAACTCTTCCGGAGAGATATGAGACTAAGATCTCTTCACTTGAAGATACTAAAGATCTCTCAAAATTAAACGTCTTGGAATTGATCAATTCTCTTCATGCCGTTGACCAAAGGAGATCAATGAGAGAGGAAGAAAATGGAGGAAAAAATGAGGGACTCCTGTTAACTAAATCTTCATTCTCAAAAGGAACTGGCAACAAAATTCAATGCAACCATTGTCATAAGGTTGGTCATGAAGAAAATAATTGTTGGCACAAAGGAAGGCCACAATGCTTCAAATGCAAAAGGTTTGGGCATCTGGCAAAGAATTGTAGATTCCAAACTGATGACGAAGTCTTGGCACATATGGTCGAGGCAAAAACTCTCCTTTAGAATTATGGGTGATTATGTGCACCATGGGGAGAAGTGCTCCAAAGTGTTTATTTTGATGAGACGTGCATCAAAAATTTGGTGGTGGTGAGAAGTGCATCACAGATGATAAGAACTGCTTCGCAAATTTAAGATTATGGGGGTGATTGTTGGAATAATCTTAAATTTAGTTATTAATTATTTGGTTCACTTAGTTATTAATTATTTATTTTTATCATTAAAAAATAGTTTGTTTCTATTGAGTGTGTGGGTTAGTTAAGAGCTTTGAATTAATCCTCCGTATTGTTAGGATAGTGGAGCAGTAACATGGGTTAGTGGTTATCTTGTTTTTAATTCCCTATAAATAGCACTATGGGGAAAGACTTCATTGGTATTCCTTCGTAATTTGCTTATTTCAGTTCAAGTAATAAAAAAGGGGAATTCTCCCAATTCGTGTGTTTTGCTTTGTTCTCCGTTCTGTGTTATATCTGACAGCAAAGCAGGTCCCTGAAACCAACATTTAAGGGCTGGCCGCAGGAGGCAGGCTGGTCGTGGTGGGGTAGCACGCAGGCTGGTGGCGGTCGTCGACTCGTTCATTCCACGCTTCCAGTCATTCAGTCATTCCAGATTCGAGTAGGGATGGAGCCGGGCCGGCGGTTCTAGAATGGGGGCCTGGGACCGGCTCGGGTACCTCCGGGCCGGGCCGGGCCGGGCCTCGGGTATTTTTATTTTTCCTTTTCCTAATTACCCCCCACCCCCAAATCACCCCATATGGCCCAAAATACCCAGCCCAACCCAAAACAAAAATTGAAAAACAAAATTAAAATGGCCCGGAACTGGGCCGGTTCAGGTTTTGGGGGACCCGATCCCGGACCGGAACCACCTCGGGTCGGGCCTACCCGGACCAGTCACTGACCGGGCCACCGGGCTGGTCCGGGTCGGAATAGTGCCGGTCCCGGGTCGGGCCACCTGGCCCGAGTCCAGGCCTAGATTCGAGAGGCCCTTTCTCTACCGATCTTCCGTAATTTTCCTCCCTTCTCAGGTTCTATTCTTTCTGTATTTCCTTCAAACCTTTGGACCTAGACTGCTAGATGACTACTACAGTACTACTAGTAAAAAACGGGCCTTCCAAATGTTTGGGCCATGTGCGACCGGGCTGGGTGCACTTGGCCTGGGCCGGCCCTGCCGCTCGTGATCCAGTATCTTTTACCCGCATCTATTTGATAATGCTAATATCTCATGACTTTGTATATTCACCCATGTGTCGCACATATATTTTCGCATTTGTTTACATTCCGTGAATATAAGTCTTGTTTCACCAGGGATTTTGCAATTTTTACCAGTGATTGGCCAGGGCCGGCCCTGGCCAAGTGTAGGGTGTGCAATGGCACAGGGCCCTTAAAAATTGAAGGCCCAAAATTAATTAGTAGTATTAGTTTTTATGTAGCAGTATATAATTTCAAATCCAATAGCCCAAACTCACATCCCTACTGCTAACGGATCACTCGGAAGTAGAAGAGGGTGTTAGACTTCACGTTTTCTCCTTAGTGCCTCTTTGAAAAGTCGGAGTATTTCAAGAGGTTAGGTTTTCTCATTAGCCATAAGTTCTGCCCTTTCTAGGTTAGGCTTTTTTTTTTAGAATTATAAAGTTTCCATCTATTTATATTATTGTTGTATATCTAAATAGATTTCAAGAATTAAATACTTCGTAGTTTGTAGTTGAGTTTAACAAATTCAAGGTTATTAAGTTGTTAATTTTGCATTTGCATTGAACAAGTTGATATGAAGTCATTAGGTAAATACATGTAATCTCTATGTTACAAAAAAGGCCCAACTTTTTCTTCGCACAGGGTCCAATATTTTGTTGAAGATGGAGCCTTGTTTTGAGTGCAGGAGTATATACCTGACCGGGTATGTTGGATTACCCGATCGGGTATGAGGCTTTGATGGCTCGAGTAGTTCCCTGGTTTCTACACTCGATCGAGTATTGGTCATTACTCGGTCGAGTATGCATGGATGACTTACTCGGGTAACACCCTGTGCTCTGTACCTGATCGAGTATGGAGGTATACTCGATCGAGTATGCGTAAAAACCTTACTCGTGTAGTAGTCTGGAATCTATACTCGATCGAGTATGTATGTATACTCGATCGAGTATACGGGAAAATTAATGACGAGATTAATTTTTGGGCCTGTGGCCTTAACCCTTGTTTAGGCTTTCTTAAACCTATTTAAACATCCCTAATGTATCTGTAAACACACCAGACGCTGGAATAATAATACACCTCTCTCTCGTTCGCCGTGGACTAGCACAATCACCCCGATTGTGTGAACCACGTAAATTCTTGTGTTCTTGCTTTAAATTTATCGTTTATCTTAGCCTAATCGTTGATAATTAACGATTGGTATCAGAGCTATGGCTGACGAAGGGAAGGTTAAGATCGATAAATTTGATGGTCAAGATTTCGCTCTCTGGAAGATGCAGATCGAGGATTATCTCTACCAGAAAACCTTCATCTACCCTTGTCTGAGAACAAACCAGAGACGATGGCGGAGGCGGAGTGGAACTTGTTGGATCGACAGGCTCTTGGTGTGGTGAGGTTGTCGTTGGCGAAAAACGTTGTTTACAACATCGTCAACGAGAAGACAACGTTTGGACTGCTCGAGGCGTTATCCAACATGTACGAGAAACCCTCAGCGGCCAACAAGGTTTTCTTAATCAGACAGTTGGTGAATACAAGAATGAAGGAAGGTGCATCCGTGACAGATCACATCAACGAGTTTAATTCAATCATATTCAGGTTAGGTTCGGTTGAGATTAAATTTGATGATGAAGTTCAAGCATTACTTTTGTTATCATCTTTGCCCGATAGTTGGTCCGGTACAGTCACAGCAGTTAGTAGTTCTTCTGGAACCACTAAGCTTACCTTTGAAGGTATTCGTGACTTAATCCTTGGTGAGGATATCCGGAGGAGGAGTTTGGGGGATAGCCTTAATAGCTTGTTGAGTACTGAAGATAGGGGCACAAAATCCACAAGAGGGGGGTAACAAGAAAGGAAGATTAAAGTCGAGGAAGAGAGGTCAATCCAAGAACAGGAAGGACATCAATTGTTGGAATTGCAAGAACAATGGACACTTCAGAAATCAGTGCCCAAAAGCCTCAGCAGATAAAGGCAAGAAGGAGGTGAACGTGGCAGAAGATTATGAAGATGTTCTAATTTGCAGCGTTGAGAATTCAATTGAGTCTGGGATCATGGATTCAGGTGCGTCGTTTCATGCTTGTCATTGCAGGGATTTGATGAAAAATTTCAGGCCTTACGGCGGAAGAGTTAGTTTGGCGGATGATAAATCTCTGGAGATCACGGGTATTAGGGATGTGGATCTCAGTACCACCTTGGGTACAACCTAGAGGCTGAAAAATGTCAGGTACATTCCAGACTTGAAGAAGATGTTGATCTCAGTAGGACAGCTTGATGAGGAAGGCCATAACGTTAGTTTTGGCAACAATCAATGGAAAGTAACAAAGGGAAAGTTGGTCATTGCTCGTGGACAGAAGCATGGTACACTGTACATCGTTGAAGTGTCTACAGATGGAGCAAACGCAGCAGTTGAAGATTCAGGGGTCTCTACTTTGTGGAACCAAAGACTTGGGCACATAAGTGAGAACAGAATGAAGATGTTGTCTTCAAAGGGCAAAATCCCAGATTTAAAGAACTCAAAGTTGAGCTTTTGTGAGCCATGTGTCCTTGGCAAACAAAAGAGGGTAACCTTTGTGAAGACAGGACAACAACCCAAGACTGAGCAGCTGGAGTTGATTCATTCAGATGTCTACGGACCTACAAAGGTCTCTTCAATTGGAGGTTCCCGATACTATGTTACATTCATTGATGACTCTACACGGAAGGTATGGGTTTATTTTCTTAAAAATAAATCTGATGTCTTTAACACTTTTAAGAAGTTCAAAGTTGCAGTTGAGAATGAAACAAATCTTAAGATTAAGTGTTTAAAGAGTGATAATGAGGGTGAGTACAGTAGCACAGAGTTTGTAGAGTATTGTGCTGAACAGGGGATCAGAATGTTGAAGACGGATCCAGAAACACCACAGCAAAATGGTGTTGCAGAGAGGATGAACAGAACATTGAATGAGAGTGCCAGAAGCATGAGATTGCATGCAGGACTTCCCAAGATGTTCTGGGCCGATGCGGTGAACACAGCAGCGTACTTGATCAACAGAGCACCCTCATCTCCCATAGATTTCAGAATTCCAGAAGAGGAATGGAAAGGTCGAGAGGTATCTCTTAATCACTTGAAAGTTTTTGGTTGTATTTCTTATGTCAAAGTCAGAGATGCAGATAGTGACAAGCTCGGGGCAAAGGCAAAGAAGTGTATCTTTATTGGGTACACGATGGATGACATGGGCTACAGGTTCTGGGACAACCAAAGCAAGAAGGTTATCAGAAGTAGAGATGTCACCTTCAACAAGAATGCCCTTTATAAAGATGGTCTTGCAGCAGAAACAAGCAAAGACAAGCAACCAGGAAACAAACAACAAGTGGTGTTTGAAGGGATGACTGAGGATGACGTAGCACAACCTGTTGGTTGTGATGAGACGGCTGGAAGCTCAGGGAGCAGTGGGAGCTTAGGAGATTTAGGAATGTCTGAAAATAGTGGGAGTGATGAAGACAGTGTGAGTTCAGAGGCAGCTACTCCACACATCTAGGGATGTCAAAAAAACCGACCCGCAATAACCCGCCCTGGCCCGACACATTTGGGACGGGTCCGCCCCGCCCCGTCTTGCAAATGGGGCGGGTCCGCCCCACCTCGCCTATACAATGGGGCGGGTCCGGGTATTAGAATTGACCCGTGCCGCCCCGACCCGCCCCGACCCGACCCGCTCAATATAAAAGTATACATACTTTTTCTTAACTTATGCTACAAATATACTTCAACATACATATGTGTGTATACAATAAATCATAAATTCTTTGATCTTATAATATATGAATATATATTAAAATGAGATGCACGACGGATTATCAATGTCTTCTTTATATATATAGAATTTTAATACATTTATTCCATTATTAATATAACTAATTAGATTAACTATTCAAGTTTGAGTAATTTTTCCTTGATTTTTGAAATTTTTAGCGTATCATGAATTTGATTTAATATATTGAGTTTTAATTATTATTTAGAGATAAACATTATGTAGATTCAATTGGTAACAACTTCCTACAAATAAAAATAAAAACTAGCTAATTAGGTTGCGGCGGGGCGGACCCGCCCCGCCCCGCCCCCGCATGGGGCGGGTCATGGGTCAACAAGTTTGGACCCGTGCAGGTCACGGGGCGGGGCGGACCCGCCCCGCCAAGTCACGGGACGGGTCTGGGTCTTGCAATACCCGCCCCGCCCCGCCCCGACCCATTGCCATGCCTACACACATCAGACAGTCCACCAGAATCAGGAGACCTCCTAACAGGTATTCTCCTTCAGCAAATTATCTGTTGCTGACCGAGAATGGTGAGCCAGAGTCTTACTCAGAGGCGTTGGCTGTGAGAGATTCCATACAGTGGAAGAAGGCCATGGAAGATGAGTTAGATTCACTTGACAAGAACCAAACTTGGTCCTTAGTCAAGCTACCACCGGGAAAGAAAGCTTTGAAGAACAAGTGGGTGTTCAAAATCAAAGATGAAGCAGATGAGAGCAAAAGATACAAGGCCAGGCTAGTTGTCAAAGGGTTCCAACAGAAGAAGGAGGTTGAATACAATGAAATATTCTCCTCGGTTGTGAAGATGACTACTATCAGGTTGATTCTTGGTATCGTTGCGGCTGAAAATTTACACTTGGAGCAGCTGGATGTGAAGACTGCTTTTCTTCATGGCAACCTTGAAGAAGACATTTTTACATGGCTCAACCGGTAGGTTTCTCAGTGAGTGGTAAGGAAAAGTTGGTGTGCAAACTCAAGAAAAGTCTATACGGACTGAAGCAAGCTCCTAGACAGTGGTACTTGAAGTTTGACAGTTTTATGCAGCGGAATGGGTACACTAGATGCAAGATGGACCATTGTTGTTACTTGAAGAAATTCAAGTCATCATACATTATTCTTCTTTTGTATGTTGATGACATGTTGGTGGCTGGATCAAACATGCAGGAGATCAACGAGCTCAAGAAGAAGTTGTCCGAAGAATTTGAGATGAAGGATTTAGGGGAGGCGAGACAGATTCTTGGGATGAGCATAGTCAGAGACAAGGTGGAAGGTACTTTGAAGCTTTCACAGCAGAAGTACATTCAGAGAGTCCTTGAGAAGTTCAGAATGACAGATGCCAAGCCAAGAAGTACACTGTTAGGGAGTCAGTTAAAACTCTCCAAGCAGCAGTCTCCAAAGACCAATGAAGACAAAGATGAGATGGCTAAAGTTCCTTATGCATCAGCCGTTGGCAGCTTGATGTACGCAATGGTGTCAACAAGGCTGGACATTGCTCATGCAGTGGGAGTTGTTAGCAGGTTCATGTTAAATCCAGGGAAGGAACATTGGGAAGGAGTCAAGTGGCTGTTACGCTACTTGAAAGGCACTTCTGGAACTGCTCTTTGTTTTAAGAGGAATGGGGTAATTCTAGAAGGATTTGCTGATGCTGATTTGGGGGGCTGTTGTGATTCCGGGAAGAGCATTACGGGTTACATATTCATAATTGGAGGTACGACAATCAGTTGGATGTCCAGACTACAAAAGAGTGTGGCTCTTTCAACCACAGAAGCAGAATATATGGCACTTGCTGAAGCGGCCAAAGAGTTGATTTGGTTGAAGAACTTTCTTTCGGAGTTGGGCATGGAACAGGGGGATTGTGGTCTATACTGTGACAACCAGAGTGCTATTCATCTCGCGAAGAATCCAGTGTTTCACAGCAGAACGAAACACATTAAGATGCGGTACCATTTTATCCGAGAGTTGATTGAAGACGGTATCATGAACTTGAAGAAGATCCTTGGTACGAAGAATCCAGCAAACATGCTTACCAAGGTGGTGACAACGGAGAAGTTGAAGCTATGCATGGCTTCAACTGGCCTTCCAGACACTTGATGAGAAGGTGTGAAGGAGAGAGAGAGATCAGGGGTTTTGCAGAGGATACATGCTCTTGGATGCTGGGTTATCTACTCGGCGAGTACTCGGCGAGTATTCCCAACTCGGCCTGGCACCTTGCAGAGTAGCACTTAACTTGGTCCGAGTTAATTTTCCGAGTTACTCGGCGAGTACTCGGCGAGTTAGGCAACTCGGCGAGTCGGTCAAAGTGGCGAGTTACTCGCTACTACTCGGTTTTAAAAAAAAAAGACATGCGCACTTATAAAACCTAAAAACCTGCGCTGGTCATTGCTACTTGAGGAGCTTCGACACAAAAATCTGCGATTACAAGACCTACACTTGCAAGACCTGCGACTCTGTGGAGCTGCTACGCTAGGAGCTCCGACCGATAAGTTCTTTCCCCATGTCTCGTTTCTTATTTTCTTTGTTTGGAGCTTCATATATTCCCCTCCCCTGTTTTTTTTCTTATTCTCCTTGTATTGAATATACTTAACTTATTTTATTCAGGGCATATTATATTTGATCATGTGACTTTGCCAACATGTATTTGATTGCATTTTTTTTTCAATTCTTCTTCATTTTAAAAGAGTACCTGGCATGAACAAAGGTTTATGGTGCCTAAGCCTTCGTGGGGCTTTCACCTTAATGTTCACCAAGGCCAACCTATTTTATGTTGAAATACCTCACACAGTTGATTATCCTGATCTTGTTGCTTCTTCTAGGACTAAAAAGAGGCATATGTTATTGGTTGTAGGGTAAGATCTGCATGTGTAAGCTGGTCTATTAATGAAGAAAAACACAAAATCAATGCATATGTTATACTTGTATTTTTGTATTTTTAGAATGGGCAACAATTTCAAGAAGAGATAAACAATCAACAAACTCATCAACAGAAACCCCTCCTACATCACGACCTTGAATTCAATGAAGATTAATATCAGATCAACTTATTAGATGATTGACTGTTTTATCACTTTTGCTTTATGACATTTGCTACTCCATAATTAGGATAATAGGATTTCTATCCTTTTATTCACTTCTATGCATTTTAAGACAATTTAAAGACAATTTTATTACTATATTTTAAGACTACTACATTTAAATATATTTTTATATTTAATTAATACTAGGCCGAGTAATCACCGAGTAATCCCGAGTAATCGGTCCTACTCGCTACTCGGCCCTTGACCGAGTTGCTACCGAGTAGCGAGTAAACTACTTAGTAGTCATGAACTCTGCCCGAGTAATCACCGAGTAATCCCGAGTAGCGAGTTAACTACTTAGCTTGGATGGCAGATGACTGTTGAACAAGCCTCCAAGTGGGAGATTGTTGAAGATGGAGCCTTGTTTTGAGTGCAGGAGTATATACCCGACCGGGTATGTTGGATTACCCGATCGGGTATGAGGCTTTGATGGCTCGAGTAGTTCCCTGGTTTCTACACTCGATCGAGTATTGGTCATTACTCGGTCGAGTATGCATGGATGACTTACTCGGGTAACACCCTGTGTTCTGTACCTGATCGAGTATGGAGGTATACTCGATCGAGTATGCGTAAAAACCTTACTCGAGTAGTAGTCTGGAATGTATACTCGATCGAGTATGTATGTATACTCGATCGAGTATACGGGAAAATTAATGATAGGATTAATTTTTGGGCCTGCGGCCTTAACCCTTGTTTAGGCTTTCTTAAACCTATTTAAACATCCCTAATGTATCTGTAAACACACCAGACTCTGGAATAATAATACACCTCTCTCTCTCGTTCGCCGTGGACTAGCACAATCACCCCGATTGTGTGAACCACGTAAATTCTCGTTTTCTTGCTTTAAATTTATCGTTTATCTTAGCCTAATCATTGATAATTAACATATTTCTTTGGGCCGACCCTGTGATTGGCTGTATTACATGTTACCAGGGATTTCTGTAATTTTACCCGTTCCAGCAAAGCAGGACCCCTGAACAGTAAGTCAAATGGAAGATGGAGAATCTCAACCTCAAAGGTGCTAACAAAATTTTCCTTTTAAGACCAAAATCAGGTTTGGATTGCTTATGGCCGGGATACAACGAAAGAAGTAAAACATTTTTTAATGGGCAGTTTTTTATCAAAAAAGAAAAAGAAAGGAATAGATCACTTAATTGTGATAGACTGTTGTTGCTCAGCAGCCAGGACCTATGAGGCTGTAACTTACCAGCAGCACTAGAGATTTTTAGCTTAACTAGAACACATTCAAGGCACGTGCAACATAAGTATAATGCATGCGTATGAGCTCAAAGATACAGAAGAACTCAGCCCCTTCAAGGTAAAGACGACACACAATCATCATTCATCACGTTGTGAATATAAAGCTAATGAATTTATGAAACCCCACAAAACCTTAATTGAAAAAAGATCTTTTGGGCTATCAAATGATACAATTGGTAAGGAGAGTAACTTTATAAATATTTTTGCCATATATGTTATCACTATATCAATATACTATGCCTGATGTGTTATCCTGTTATCAGACAGAATACCAGCAAATCAGAACTCGGAAGATCATTGGATGAGCTTGTGCAATTCCACCTCACAAAAGGATAAATAACCAAGAACCAGACTCGGATCATAGCCAAACTATAACACACAACGCCACAGCGCATCAAATCCTCGGTCTCAACCAGTAGATTTAAGTTAAAGCCACCAGATTGAAGGAGAATGATGTATAAACTCTATCCAGAGTACAATAAAAGTGATCAGTTAGTCAGAAAATTGAAGGAGTATGGTGGCTGTAGGTGCTTTGACTACACATATTGTTTTGAAGTTTATCTTAGCAGATTGAAATTAACCACAATCATTATTTACGATGCCCATATGGCCATATACGGCCTTGTTCCCTATTTGATTTCTCATCTTAAATTCTGCTACCCATTGTTCTACCAAGAGCACCAAGCATAGAGTTGGCCCGATGAATGCAACACTTACCTACAACAGCACAATAACCTCAAATGGGAGAAACCAACAGTTCTTATGCCTCAAAAATATCCAAATACTCTCCATTTTGTCAATAGATTCAATAGCCTCAACAGCAAGGTCAATGCAAAAATCATCCAAATGATCACATTGTTCTTCAGGTAGCAGATGCATTGGGTTGGGAATTCAAAGCAAAGATCAAAAGCAGGAAGCAAAGAAAACAAAAATGCAATTAACTAATTATTAATAAGATTATCTTTACGATTACAGATTGATAACGTTAACAAAAACACACAAAAAGCAGAATAACCAAAGACAAGCAGAGTAACCAGTTTAATAGTGAGTTGTACCGTCAACGTCTTATTACACATGTCAGGTATTTGAGGGTCTCATCACGCAAAGTATCATCAAACAGTGAAACTTCCCTTTCTTTGTAATCTAGACGTTCTTCAGCATGTAATGATTTAATCCGGTTGTCGTCCCCAAATGCCACAAGTATAGGCTCAAACCAAAGAACTTCGGGTATTGCAACAGGAGAAGACAGTTGAGGCCACGGCAACACAGTAACTGGATTTGGATTACACATAGGAGCAAAGACCACTTCAGAACCAGGATAGTCCTCCTTGATTTGTTTGTAGGAGTCAAGCAACTTCTTGAGGAGAGAACTAGAGTTGCCAAAGTAAAGGAGAATTTTCCTGTTCTTGAGGCCAGAAACTGTCAAGTGAGAAGAACCTCGTTTGCCTCCCTTGTAGGAAAGAAACGACTCTAGGGTGAGTGACCTTAAAGCCGAATACTTGTCATCTAACCATTTCTTTCTAGTGACAGGATATAAGTTCCTTGAGCCCCTCCACTCCATAAGAGCCCGTCCACTTAGCTCACCAGAACGCCCACCACCGGCCCAAATGATCACATCATCTTCATATGGAACCTTAACAATTTCGTAAAGCCTTCGGCTAACATGGTCAACAAAGGGCAGCTCCCACCAAGACGATATACCTTTCTCTTTCAATGCCAACTTTAATGCTTCAGAGTACGAAGACTCATCAGAAAAGTAGGATAGGTTTATGATCACAACCTCAAACTGTTGCTTACGCTTAACACATCTGCGACGGAAGATTTCAAGACAAGACATAAATTCAGCATCAAAGCAAAGGTACAACACAACACACTTGCTCTTGCTGAGGTCTGCAACAGATATAACTTTGTTCTCTAGGCTACTGCCATCACATTTGTGTAGGAGCATTGAGGATTCGCAGCACAAGAGTTCCTCAAGGGTCACAGGTTCCTTGTAGAGAGGACCTGCGAACTGGTCATGGAGTTCCTGTTGCCTGTAAAGTGGATCCAACCTCAATCTTACCTCCTCAATTTTTTTCTTAATGGAGTCCAAGTGGTGATCAGTGAAAGGGAAGGACGCAGCTCCATAACTCTCGAAACAGCAAGTTTCCGTCTGCAAAACCTTTTGATCAGGATCGAGAACAAGACAAGCATCACCATCACTAAATAACCTATAACCTTCTATCCCAAGAAGCATGCAAATCGAGTCCCTGGTCGAGGAGTCAGAAAAGGGTACAGCCAGGCAAGGAAACGCAGAAAAAAACCAGTCGAAAGCAGGTTCCTCTTGTTCCTTAGAGATGAATGAGGATCTCATCTTAGCTACCATCACCATCTCGAAATTTAAGTTCTTCTTCTTCAAATCATTGTAAGTTGCTATCAAGGCGCGGCATCCACGGTTAGGAGGGTCTTCAACAAACATAGGCACAAAGAAGCAACAAACAACCAAATACTTACCGGAAATCGCATCCATTAAACCAACTCTTTCACCATTGTTACGGACAAGGGAGTTTGTCTTACCGCCGTTAGATAACAAGGAAAACACATCAACCGGCAATTTCTGGCCTTTCGTAATATTAAGAGGCTTGATCTCCTCCATAAATATTTCCTCGGGAAACTCGAAATTAACATGGGGTTCACCAGTAGTAAAATTAGGGGTGATGGTATTTACTGGAGAAGGAAAGTAGTTTTCGGAGTCGAATAGCGAATACGGGCGTCCTGGTCTCTTAAGAAGATTTTTGCAGACGCAGTCACCATCGCTACATCTCTTCAAAGTCCAATCCTTCTTTTCCTTTTTCTTCTCCTTTTCGCCGCTCCTGCGTCTCTTCAACGCCCCAGTCTCCTTCACCTTTTCTCCGCCGCTGCATCTCTTCAACGCCCCAGTTTCCTTCTCCTTTTTGACGCCGCTGCACCTCTTCAGCGCCCCACTTTTCTTCGTTTCTCCTTTGAGTGACCATAAAGCAACTCGATCCCTGTTCACACTCCGCTTATTTTTAGTAAATAAAATTTATATATTCAGAAACTACATTAAAATCGCTACAAAGCCTGATCAAGAAAAGTTCAATTTGATATATAAAGTAAAAGATTAAGAGTGACCTAAGTTGACCAATGAATAGTGAACGGGAACATTACAACGGGACGGAGGGAGTATATACTTAAAATAATTTTAACCTCCTACTAAATAAATTAATTTTTGTGACCAGAGTAGATCACAATGGTAATGGCTCTAGCAGAGTATCCGAGTATATATAAGAACAGAAGCTAGCTAGGGTAGGGGGTTTTGAGGGCTAACCGCAACCCAGCCCCTCAATAAATCTAATCTCACACCATTGTATATGTATTCACTTAGTCAATTCAGATTTTCTCCGCAACCCAACACCGTCAATATATTCATTCAGCACATATTTTTTTTAATAAATCCATAATTCCTTATATTTCTTTATCACACGTCGTTTATGTGACAATTTTATTTTTACCAATAATTATGATTTAAAAAGTCAAATATTTTTATATAATAATAAACAAATTTAGATTTTAATTTATTTTGTTACATCAGACCTATAGTTTAAAAACATAACCAAAAAGTGTAAAAAGATTATCAACAAGATATTGATTTTAACATTTGGATCTACTTAAGAATAATTTCGAGTCTAAATATCTCCATCAGATGAAACTTTATATAATTTATTAACTTTATATATGTGATATTGGTGTCATATGAAAGATAATAAAAAAATTATAAATTCTGATATATTATTTATAAAAATTGGATCATTAATAAAAAAAGATATATCATTTTTAAAAATAAGGAGATTTTTAGTTTTCATGGAGCCCATTTTCTTTTCTTCCCTGGCACAACAAACGTACCTCTTTTTCTCTCCGCGGGAGTCGATCCACCATCCAAATCCCCACCCCCAAGGGTTTCCCCAATCCACTACAAGACCCTCCTATACTAATTTTGGTGTGGGTTGCAGTTCAATTTGGGGTGAAATCCTCAAATTTGGGTTTCCACCCCTTAGCATTGCGGACAGCCTAATATATGACATCCATTATCAGCTGGTGTCAAGGGGGAGCCAGGCCCGATACTTCAAAGTCAAGCTCATTACTTCATAGCTCGGACCAAAAAAGCCCACACTATATATTGAGTAGACCTGCACAAAAGCGGGTTCGGGCCGGGCTCGGGTCGGGCTTTTAATAAGTTTTCTACCCATCGTATGTGGACGGGCCCGGCCTGCAAAAACGGACCTAACCCCACGTCCATACCCGCCCGTAAGAGCGGGCCGGGTAGTCCACCGGGCCACCGGGCCCGGGAAAACTTTAAATTTTTCAAAATTATACTCCCTCCGTCCCAATATAAAAGGCACATTTGCGTTTCTAGACATTTGAAGGGTGAACACTGTTTGATCATTGTTTGACACTGTTTAGACACTGTTTGGCACTGTTTGGACACTGTTTGGCACTGTTTTGCACTGTTTTGTTTGCCAAAAAGGGAATTGTGCCTTTTATATTGGGACGAACCGAAAAGGAAAATGTGCCTTTTATATTGGGACGGAGGGAGTATAATTTATTTAATACTTTATAAATAATAGGGGAAAAATGCTATATAACCTTAAAAAATAGACCACTTAAATTAGTAGCTTCTATTTTATTTAATTAACCAGATAGCACTTGTTTTATTAATTGGAACGCCTGGAAATTTAATTACCATATCTACCTTCATTCCGATCCTCATCATGTTTACAAATATAAGCGACCCTTTTTATATAATAATAATGGTGCTAATCACACTCGTTGACCCCGCATATTCAGAATTACATCCATACATCCACGTACGGAGTATCATATACAGAAATTGCTTTAAATAAGAGTAAAAATGTTTTGAAATTCCAAAATAGGAGTATCATGTTTTTTATTCCTTGAATAGGAGTAATCTGCCAAGTTTGGAAGAAGCTGCCATCTTTAAGGCCTTGTAAAATCAAACTTGGCAGAAATTTACTCCTATTCAGTCAATAAAAAACATGATACTCCTATTTTGGAATTTCAAAACATTTTTACTCCTATTTAGGGAATTATCTCTATCATATATGCAGAACACAAGCTCTATCATTGTTTCTCCTAAGTTGCAGTCTTGCAGAAATGCACATAAGATGCAACACATTACTTCCATTGCCGTTGTCAAAATAAGATTTTGTGAGAAGTAGGAGTATTATGGCAGAAATCCTAAAATATTTTATTTTTAAGTATATTATTTGACATGATGGTTATTGCAGATTGAGCAAAAGTTTGCAAATACTTCGATCAAATGAATAGTACCAATCCTGTGTAATACGGGATCAAATGAATATGAGATAGAAAGAAATTTTTAAAATCAGGCGAATAGGCGATGAACATATGATTTAAGGTTGCTAAATTATTCATTCTACAAAGTGCAAATTGCTCCACAGAGGCATGATTCCTTTACGATTCTCAAAGAAATTGCGGATTTAGAGGGTCAGTACGTTAATGGTTGAGGAAGAAAACTGCCATAAGATTATTATAATTATAGATATAGTGTACCAGACTTTAATTTAGGCTATTCAGTTTATTTTTACTAATCCATAACATTAACTTAAATGCATCTATTTAATTGGGTATATACACCCAATTTTCTCTAAATAATACTGTATTACAACATTTAAAAAAATTGCTTTTACGCTTATAATGTATATAGGTCTTTCATCACATACACAAAAAATATTCACACAAAAAAAATAATGAGAAAGTATATCTAAAATTTAAAATTCAAGCACAAAGTGAGAAGTGTTTTGATGAATGGATGCTCTGGTAATATAATCTCAAGTGATCAACAAAGACATTAATCACTACTCACTACAGTGAAGATTCATGTGGTCAATTTGAGTGTAGTCCAACATTCAAACCTCACTATTAACACATACTTTTAGATACAAACATTGAATAGATACCACTTTAATTAAATTACACAAACGTGAGCAACGTAAGTAGGGGGTGCAGATCCTACACAAATTTGGCCTGAGTCGATGTTCAAAAAAGGGTAGGCCAGTTATATATGTAGTATTTGTTTCATAATATAACATATTTGGATATAAAAGAATTAATAAAGAATGAAGTATTCAAAACGCTGAATTAATTGCTCATGAATTTGAACAAGAATTATTGTGTGTATTCAGTTAGAAGTTGCTAGAGGATGCTAACACGTACGGAACATACTACAGAATCAAAATTGGACCAAAGTGTACGCGGAAGTTGTTGCTACCGCCGTAGGTAATTAAAGGTCTTCTTCAATTTAGGCAAGCGTGTGGGATTGTTCGGTTTGTGGACAAATTGACGAATTATGGGGACCGCGTGCTAGGGAAGGATGTATGGGGAAATCGGGGCAGATTTTATTTAGGGTAGTCGGTGAACAAGTTTATTCCTTACATGATGTTGTTATATTTTGTCATTATTATGGAGGGTATATTTAATTAGGATGTTTTAGTTCGACTTTCTCCGATCAAATCATATTAAAACACATCATACCAGAACATGCTTGTTCAGACTACACCAGACTTAAAGTATCTATACCACATCATAAAATACCAGTCCCTAAAAAAATTATTAATCATGCTTAGTTAAAAATAATGCTTCTATTTTAAATTTCACACCATTTTCACTCCTATATGTATACAAATTTCTACTTTTCTAATTTTCTTTTTGAATACATAGCCCGTATATAAGTAGGTATTGTATTTTGTATGAAAAGAATATGGTGTACATTTTTTTGAATTGTGTACAATTTTGACACACTTGTCTATCTACACAATTTTATATACAAATAACTTCTATATTTCATTCTATTTTTATACATGTAATCCATAGTATCTGACTATCTACCATCCTAAATAGTCTTTTGGTCATGACGTGAGGATGTTTTCTTTTTTAATGGTTTCAGTCCTAAACATCCTTACGCGCGCTACCATCACAACAATACAGAATAAAAATTTGCAGGTGCAATGTGTCCTAAGTTTGATGTCTCACAAAGAGTGGATGTGCAGTAATGCAATTAGTAAAAAATTAAAAAAAAAAACCATACTCTTTTAAATTTAGAATTTGTGAATTATGAAAAAGTGAGAACAAATCAGGGTCATATGATATTGTCAAATACTCCTTATGACTAAATTTTTTGGAACACTTAAAAGAAAAAAAAAATGATATGAAAAATATGACGGGATGGAGAAGTTGTCTTATACCATACTATAGAATAAATTGGGAACGACCATGCATTTCCCATAAATATCCTCTAAAAAAAATTGTCCCTAAAAACAACATTATAACCAGTACTCCTTACATGTGAAGCAATCAAATCCCTGAGATAGTTTTAATAATTACTTGTCAAATAGAGATCTTTCAAAGTTTTATCTTAAATATGGGCTGGGTGTTGTTTTCCTTGATCCAAAAGGTGGAATCTCTCACCTCCAGAGCCCCCACGCCCCGGCCCGATGGAGCAAATGAGAGGATGTAAATAATCATGGTGACTCAGTCAGTCAGGTATCATTTTCCTTGCATGTTAGTAGTATTAGAGTTCATTTCTATCATGCACTTCAATTCCATCATCATTGAAGTACCGATTTCACGCAGAGAGGCATGAAGAAACAAGCTATTATACTTCCTCCTTCGTTTCTAAGAACCGCACCGCCAGCACCTCGCCCCTCTCTGAACGCCGCATCAACTGAAAGTCTCAACAACTTATAGGGGTAAGAATTCTTCCAAATCAGAATTTTGATTTTGCTTCTGTGAGTCAAAACAGGCAAGAAAGCTTCTTGGATCAGTTCCTCCGTTGCATCAGAAAGATATTTCTTGAGTAATGTGGATAACCAATTCTGACAGTAATCCTTAATTTTGAAAATAATTGCCCCAACATCAAAGATTTTATCTTCCCAAATCAGATCATTATAAGATTTCCAGATAAACCAGCTAATAATTCCTGGGAGATTATTTTTCAAGATTCCTTCCAAAGTATTTTGATTACCCGAGAGCCACCAGCAGAAGAACATTTGTCTAATACTAGGATTATTAGTATTATTAATAGACATTAAACCCATGAAATAATCCCAAATTCCTCTTACCCTACTGCAGAAGTAAAGACAGTGGGAACCAGTTTGTTCTGCCTTCAGACAAAGTGGACATTGAGAAGCCAGTTGAATAGAA